GAAATATGATTTTGGACTCATGGAAACAAAATGAATGACCACATGGTGCAACCAAAACATCACAAATAACAACATCAGCACAACACCAAAAACTGCCCTTTTGTTGCTGCCCGTTTCTGGGGACAAACGCAAACCAAAAGCTGGTTTTAACTGCAGCTATAAAGGCAACTATTACTATCAGAATAAAGGTTAATCAATGTAAAGTCCCCCAAAACTGACCTCAAAATGTGTGTGTGTGTGTGTGTGTGTGTGTGTGTGTGTGTGTGTGTACCAACATGTGTCTGAGCTCATGTGACCAAGCCTCTGGTTTCATGTTTATCATTGCATGGGCAGGGGAGCAGGGGAGCACACACACACACACACCCACACCACTCATACTCACTCACTCACACCCACATACACACACATAATAACACATGAGTCTTCAGCAGCAGAGCAAACCTCTCTCTCTTCCCGTGATGAAACAGCATGAAACATTTAGAGGCTTTTTCTGGGACTTGGTTTGACATTTTCTCTCCAAACTGAATCCAGAGAGAGATCGAGAGAGAGAGAGAGAGAGAGAGAGAGAGAGAGAGAGAGAGAGAGAGAGAGAGAGAGAGAGAGAGAGAGAGAGAGAGAGAGAGAGTGGGGGGAAGAGAGAGAACAGAGTAAGGATGATTTTCTTTTGACTACCACTGTCTGCTCTCCCCAACCCCCTCCTTACGTAAGATTGGGATATAATGGATGAAAGTGTTGAGCATGAAGCGTCGCTACCCTGGCTAGCCCTTTGTGTGCTTATACATGTCCCTGTGTGTGTGTGTGAGAGACAGAGAGAGAGAGAGAGAGAGAGAGAGAGAGCGAGAGAGAGCACGATGGAGGGCAGATACAATCTTTTCCCAGAGTATGACAGACAGACCGACCAGGAGAATGAAGATAGCAGAGAAGTCAGAAACTGATGGCCAGAGTCAGTCAGCCTGAATGGAGCTTTGTGTTCCCTCTGAGTTGCCAGTGAGTGGTAGAAATGAATATGTCACTGCAGCATAACAAAAATATCAATAACAACTTCAATATAACATTCATCATTCCAGTGCATATGCAGGAGTGTAGTATACACTTCTTAGAAAGTATACATATATATATCAGTAGTAGTGAGGTAGGTAGGTGGCGAGTGTACCATATAATATATAGTATAGTATAATAAATATATAGTAGCGGGTAGGTGGTATAGTTATATATATATATATACACATACACACACATATATGAAGTGGTGGTGGTTTGCAATATGAAATGAGATTTCTCAGAAATGGGAGGGACTGTGTGGTTTAGAGTGCGATAGAGACATATAGGACATATATCACTGTCTGGAAAAGATGAAGTATTCCCTAATGAGGATCTGCGAGGCTTCCTCCCTCGCCCAGAAACAATTGCTGTTCGCTTCATTCCTTCAGGGAAACGTCCACAAGCGATAAAACACTGACGCTATGAAATGTACTGCAGGTAGCAGCCTATATATATACAGTATATATTGCAATTACTTAAATTGTCAGTTAAAGTGAATTTGACTCTGAGAAGGTTGGACGGTTCATTCAACAAAGCGGTGTGATTTCAGCAGCTTTAAAATGTTTTTGTTCCTCAGTGTATCACCTGTGTTATTTGTCTTTGTGGTATAAAACTTCTCAGTAATGTGTAAAAATGAAGCAAACGTGTGTTGAATATACAGTTGATGTGTTTTATCAGACTGCGCTAGTTCCTGTGTTCCAGCTTTTTATCTTTGAAAGTAGAACCAGTTGCTACTAAACATCTCTGAAAACTGACAGACATAAACCGAAAGCCCTGGTGTCCCTGCGGCTCTTCCTTTGGTGCCACCACCACAGGAGTAACTTGTTGTTGAGGAGTGTAATTTCTTTACACCTGCTGCCCCCCTGTGGAGAAAATAATTCACTGCAGGTGTTCATAGAGAAACTAGTGGATGTTTCTGTAATCTGAAGTTCGACACTTCAGTGTGTCCTTGAAATACCGCCCAGATTTGTTGACTCACAATAGCTGGAACTAGTTTGCACCGTGTAATGTCTGCTAAACTGGCCTGCCAACTCCACAGGAAGTAAAGAGCAGAAATGTGAGAAATGTGAGGGCGATGCTGAGACCCACAATACTCATTACCACACTTTTACTAACATAGCTTACTGTTTACAGTGCAGTAGGTATATACTAATGCATAGTTTATAGTTATAGTTATATTGTTGGTGTTATATGCATGTTTTATTTTACTATATATTTATATATTTTATTGATTTTAGTCTTTATTTATTTTAACATATGCTGCAAAGAGGATTCCTGCCAAACTTAATTTCATTGTGTTTTCAATGCAATCACAATGAAGAATCTATCTATCTATCTATCTATCTATCTATCTATCTATCTATCTATCTATCTATCTATCTGTAAAATTCAAGTTGTATGAATGAATAAAACAATTACATCACAAGGCAAAGACAAGATCCCTGCATTGCAAAAAAGCAACATTTACTAGCAGCAATTTCAGCTACTAATCTTAGTATTGCTCTTGCTATAAGCAGAAAATGCAATAATGTTAACCAACTGCTGATTAAACCAACAATGACTTAATTTAAGTTCAGCCATATTAAAACAATCTGTGTTTGACAATAAGCCAAAACTTTGTGAGCTTTGGATGTTTTACTCTAAGTGCCACAGATGAGTCTACAAGGACAACAGCTTTTACTACAAGCTTATTTTACAAAACATAGTCACATTATAGGAAATGAAAAGTGGTCCCAAAAGTTATTTAAATTAAATCTAATTTCTATCAATCAAACAGTCACATGAAAATGACAGAATGACAACTATAAAGCTTTCCGGCGCCATTACAAGAAATGGGTATAAACCACTCATGAGGACAAGGTTTCGCCACCGGTTGTTTCTCTACTATGCCACCCACCACACAGGTGCCCTGCAATCCAGACAGCCCGACTACTGTAGTTAACTTCAATGAAGGCAAAGCCAGGTGCAAACTTGACACTACAAAGGAGAGCAGGTGCAAACATTTAAGCCTACTCAGAAACATCTTTCACTGAAAAATCCCTCTGAGGTAATTTTGGCGTCGTGCCTGAATGTGCACAGCATAATACTTCTTACTCCCCCTGCTTTACATGATCCTGTACAGTATACTGGAGCAGTGAATGATGCACTGAGACTGCCACATACGGGAAGCCATGGTTTTGGCTCCTTCTTCAAGAAAGTCAAGTGTGTGGTCCCCTCTTTGTTTGACCAGTGATTTACTGAGAGTGTGTATGTGAAATATGCTCAGTTATGGAGAATGTGCTGCCATATAAACAGAGCAACAAGGGTTAGGGCTATTTTGAAATGACATGTTATAGTCTCGGAAGAGCAACAAAGCAAAACCTCGACAATTCATAAAACAGAGAGTCAAATAGAAAAAGATTAAACTTGCAAATTCAGTAGCGAGCTGGTAAACATGAAACAAACTACAAAGTCTTCACCCGACACAGCTTCACATCGAAACGGCTTCAACTACATGGACGCATTCATGTTTTGCATCCTTCTGTGTCAACACAAATGAGCTGACTCATAAAGTTCTGATTGAGGTCACAAGGTTCATCTAACAGTGAGCAGAGATGCAGGATAAGGACTCATAGTGTTTTACATCCGAGTCCTACAGATCCCAGTGTGCGTGCTGCTTTTGGTCCAACTACCTCAGAGGAATCAACTGTGCTTAATGGAGTTTCTAATTGTCTGCCCTGAATTTGAGAGCTGCTCCAACTGAAGCTACCGGAGATCCTACGTACTGCAAGTGACAGGACGAGGCAGGAGAAAGGTGTTGCATTTGTCTCCCAGTAAAACAGCGTTCTGTCTCATTCTGGAAATACTGGGGCATGTTTTTTTTTTTTTTTAATGTGTCAGGGGATGTAGTTATGTTATGAGTGAACATCAGCAATGCAGTGGATTGCTGAAACATGACGAGAGGACATGGCAGGCTTCTTGGGCTTATTGCCAAACACTGTTGAGTGTCTGGGTGCACATGCAAGTGTGTCTCGTTGAGACTTCACATTACCAGGAGTAGCATGTTTTGTAGAGGACAAATTGCAAAGTGAGTCACTTTTAAAAGTACTGTTTCATTTACAGGTGAGGGGAAAATGCAGTTTCCCTGAAAATGCTACCTCTACGCTGTGCCTCGATCACAGCATGCATTAATGCGGTTCATGCCAAAGTGGAGTTTGGGGACTTCCTGGGGTCCTAGAGAGGTAATGAGGAGAGACTATTCCTGTTTCAACTGATTTCCAATCACAGTTATCCAGTAGGAGAGTAGACTGTTAGGTGGTTTTAAATTGAGATTTAACTCTGTGCTGTTAGGTAGGGCTTCATGGACAAACTGTCATCAAATCAGGGTTCAAATGAGGTTTCATAGAAATACAATTAGTGAAATCATGACATGAAAAGTTTTGGAGCTTTTTGCTCTGGGGTACTTCTGCTATGGCGCTATCCGTGGTGCTGAAGCGCTCTGCCTGTTTTGGGGCCCTAAAACAAGGCTGCCTCGTCTCCAGGCCCCTGAAGTTTAATGACTTGATCCCTGCATTGTCCATTTTTTGGCCCGCTTCACATGCAGCACTGGAACACGCTCGTCTGCAAATATAGCTCGGTCTGGTAAAGTATCTGGAGCCCTCTCCTCTGCTCTGCTCTCCGGAGTAGTGCGGCTTGACGCTGACTGCCAGCAGCTATATCCGCGGCAGCCGAGGACTGCACACAGAACTCGGGACAGATTCGAGGAGCACAAGGAGAGGCTCTCTCCACTGCAGACTCGGAAGATGTTACTCACACACTCGAGTGGCCAATGAAGCCACTCACCCCACCACCACCACCACCCCTCCTCCCCCCTCTCCTAGTTTATATCTCCCCCCTTTCTTTTTTTTCATCACTCAAGAGAGAAAGCATGCAAAGCCAAAGGTAGCTATAAAGCTATGGTGCTATGTTTTGTCTCTCACCGTTGGTGATAGTGGTCGACTTCGATCGTTGTCCACAGAAACACTGCAGCATATGCGCTCCTTTCTGAAGGAATGGCCTCAGAATCCTCATTGATTTGGGTTGGTGGGAGCCTTCCTCAATCCAAACAATCGGACAACGCTATCACAACACAGCAGGGTCAGGCAGCATAGCGTAGCCAGCCAGCCAGCCTCTCTCTCTACAGGCTCACAGCAGCCCTCAAAACGCCGGAAGGGCACAGTCTGCAGGACAAATTACGCTAAAACGCGGCATCTTGAGTGATTCCCCCGCTTCTCTCTCTCTCTCCCTCTCTCTCTCTCTTTCTCTAGCCCTGTCTCTCTCTGTCTATCCTCTTCTTGTCCACCGTCGGTCATTCGTGTTCACGGCAAACACTCCTCTTCCGCCACGGCTGGCAACGCAAGGACGTTACAATGTGCTCTTAATTGTACACCCCCCCCCCCTCCTTCTCCCCGCCCCCCCTTAGTCTCGCGTCTTTACCAGCAGCGGACGTAATAGCAGGAAAGGAGAGGGGAAGAGCAGAGAGAGGAGAGAGAGAGAGAGAGAGAGAGAGAGAGAGAGAGAGAGAGGGAGAGAGCATGCACGCCAAAGTTGAACTGCAGGGGTAAGTGGCAGGCCGGCCACGAGTGAGGTAATGCGGAGCTGACAGTTGAGGCGACACAATTAAGGGCTGCACGATCCAACGCTGGCTGCACAGATGTTGGAACACAAGAGCCAATAGTTTTTTCGCCCCCCCCCCTCCTCACTCTTTCCCTCTCTCCATTTTTTTTCCTCTTCCTCCAGATCCACCGGGAACAAGCGGACAACGCAGAGCCTACGTCAGCTGCAGCCCACCGCTTTAAGGACAACGGCGTTTTCTCAATGCTTGATCCTACCAGAAAGTTTATGGCTCAGTCACTGCGCTATGAAAGCAAAGGCTAGGTGTCAACAGGGGTCACCTCGGCAGCTGTGCGCTCGACACAATTTGAGAATAGGAAATAAAACCTAAATTGCAGCTTCCTAAGTGCATACATAAACGCCAGCGCACGTGAACTGACTTGCATTAAAAAAAAAAAAGTCACGTGATTATGTATGATTAGTTTAAGTGAATAAAGTTGATCAGGATTTTGTCCCGTCACTTGTTGACAGTAATATGTTGGCCTAGTTGGCTGTCAGTGATGGAGGAAGTATTCAGATCCCTTAATTAAGCAGGAAAAAACACACTGTCGAAATACTCCATTACAAGTAAAAGTCCTGCATTGAAAGTGTTACTTAATTTTAAGTGCCAATTATTATCAGAATTAATAATAAGTATAAGTATGAAAAAGGTTAGTTAAGTTAGGCCTATTTTTGTAGTTGGTTGAAGTGGGGCTAACTTTATGTTATTGAGTTGTTGATTAAGTAACAATAGAATAAAATCCAAGACGTGTGTCATATGTCTTCTATGTGCTACAGAAAAAGTACACAGTGTGACAACAGTGAGCACAAGCACTTCTAAATTTACTGACAACTTACTACTTAGTAACATTCCACCACTCTTGGTTGTACTTTGCAATGACTGTACACTTCAGACGCCTCTGAGTAAGTAAATAAGCAAGTTTGTAAAGAATACGAATAGCACTTTTCAAAATAAAAGCAAAAAACGTGCTTCATAATAAGAGCAAGGAAACACAAAATGTCAAACACGCAGGACAGTAAGACGAAGAACAACAACAACAACATTAAACAAGACTGAAAACAGTTTCACAACAACAGCACTTTTATCTAAGGAGGGATGCCACTTGAAGATCTGTGCTATATTTACTTCATTTCCTCCTGAAAGTCACAAGTCAGCTAGATCTCACAACCTTAGCTGCCCTTTCAATTTTGTTTTGTGTACAGAAAAGCTCATCACTTTTTAGGACAGGGCTAGGAACTGTTGAGGTTTCACAAACAACATTTATTACAGTCAAAGGTGTTGTGCTAAACTAAATTAAACAATTAAGGGCCACCATTGATAGCAACTCAAAAATGACTATAGATGAGTAAGAAAATTGCACAAATCACAAGTTATTTAACATCTAATTATCTTTCAATGTGTTCTAAATATCATATTTTAATAACAAATCGGGAACAAAAAGCCAAAATTCAAGATCTCAATTATGCATTCTGGCCCAGGATGACTAGCACCGTCCTGAGTTGCAAGACTAAAAGGTAAGACACTGTGCAACGTTTTACTCTAGGGGGTGCCATAACACAAAGGACCCAGTTTGAAATAAGCTGGAAAATGACTGATATTTGACCATGTAACAGAGAGAGGAAGAGAGAAAAAGTGGAAATCTTCATCTCTGATCTCTAATCGAATCATCTCTAGTCTTTAAAGTATTCAGATTCACTCAAGACAAAACACAAATGTTTGGTTTTGTCGTGTGCAAAGACATTATTGTTCTTGAGGCTGTGTAAAGACATCCTGCACAACCTTTACTGCAGAAATCAGTTTACACACCGATGCATTTAAGGAGTTTTTTTTATCTCATATAATTATTTATTCAAACATCCCTCTCTATCTTTCACTCCCATAACCTTGCACCACAAGAACAACAAATCATATGGCATCAACTGCCTTGAAAACATGCCCTCACTATGTATAGCCTAATGTATACAATGTACATAAAAAGGACGTTTCAGGTCAGCAAAATGCTTCAACAACAGCATCCATGCAAATAAGAAAGGTCAGAGAGGAGTAAAGAGAGGATGGGTGGTGGGAGGGGAGCTGGCATTAGACCCAGAGTCACAGATATGGTGATGGTGCTGTATATTCAGCTCCTATACTGTACTGTCCTACTGCAGAGCCAATCACCACTATATGCAGGGAGAGCCAGGCAGAGAGAATAGAAGAAGAAAAGGAGAAGAAAAGAGCAGTATGTGCTATACTGCTCTTTTCTTCTCCTTTTCAGAGTACAGGGGGGAACTAAAACACAATAAAATCTAGCTGGACTAAAAATTTACTAGACATATCTATGACCAAAAGATACTATAGTTTAGCTCTATTTTGCCATGGATTAACTGTTACACCCATCAAAAATTTTTACTGGTTTTAACCTGTTTTAGCCAAACGTTCCGGTGTTTAGGTGCAGCACGTTTTTTGTGTATGCAGCCAATATCTGTTATCGATTGCCTAAAGTAAATGTTTCTTCACACAAAGTGTTTCACAAACACAGGAAGACAGAAAAACACAATTACATGTGTAGAAAAGACCAGCACCCAAAGTAAACATAAAGCCAGGTGGGCTTCAGATAAAGATATTGGTCTGTGCTAAATATTACAGAATGCTACGTTTATTTGTCTAATTTCCACTGAGTCAAGTGAGATGATTACCAAAGTTAGTAAGCACTGATCTACGCCACAAAATTGTATTATTACATTATAAAAGTAAATGATATCTAGATTTCCTTTTCTTCCACATGATTTTGTTTGAAAGAAAAAAAGTTGAGTGCTTTTAGTTTAAGATTTCAGTTTGATTTATTTATTTCTCAATTAAAGGTTTCAGTTGTTTGTTTCTGCAGTAGGAAGGAGAACTGCTGTATTTCAAGATTATTTAACCTCAGTCTACTCAGCCCAACAAATGCTGTGGCTTCCCTATTAGAAATTCATGCTGTACGGCAGAGCATTGATCAAAGGTCATGACACAGAAGTTTGTACAAAACAGTGCACAACATATCTAGAGAGAAGCCATTAAAATTCATAGAGCTGATATTTCACTCATTTTAGTACAGTATTAAAACAGGCAGACATACGATGCACAGTATGTACAGTACAGCACTGTGGGTTTGTCCTACACAGTGGAAAAATGTTTCCTCTAACGTTAAATTTAAAAGGTAAAATTTAAGTACAGCATATATTGTTAACAAAGTAATCCAAAAGTGCAATTACTGTTAGGATGAGTCAGTTATTAGTAAGTGTTTACAGCAGAGCTGCCCACAGTGGGGCACGCAGGATGAGACAAACAGATCTCTACAAAACATATGAAAAAGCCACTTGTTCAGTTAAAACCTTGGCTGTGTGCAGTTTTCCTATGCTGGAATATTACGTAACCCCAGATGTGTCCCACAAACCTGGTGTATGAGAGTCATGTTATGCAGACTGGTTCACAGTGAAATCAAATATTTGGGTCTTAATTTCACAGTTTTAGAAATATTACATTGTTTACTGTACACCATTAAATTCTTTATAGTATCTAGTGAGTCTTTTACCAAATTTCACATAGACTTTTAATTATTGCTTACATAATTCTCCATTCCATCATTTAATGTGTTTTTCCCATCTAGTATGTGGCCACTGGTCGTTTCAAATTCTTTCTGTATAATCAAAAAATTAAAAATGGACTTGTAGTCTTGAAACATGCTTTTGATAGAACATCGATCACAGTTAACATCATGTCAGCTTCTGTTTTTGTCAAAGGACATTATCGTTGTTGCATGTCAGTGCAGCTCAGACTTTTCAAAGCAGTCCGTAGGTGAAACTGCACTGCCTAGCACCAACATATTTGACATGAACATTGTCTATCTCAACCAAAGTGCCAACATGTACATGTTTTATTCTGTATTGAAATAATTGTAAACAAGGAATGGGCTCAAAGTTAACCAAAACACCACCACTGTATTGTAAATTGGTTGATGAAAAAAAAAAAAAAAAAAGTTGGTACAATGGTTAGCACTGTTGCCTCACTACAAGAAGGTTCTTGGTTGTAACCTTGGTTCGGCCAGGGGCTTGTACACGTTGCACATTCTCCTCATGCCTGGGTTTCCTCCAGGTGAATGTTTGTTTGTCGCTATATATATATATATATATGATAAACGGGCGACCTGTCCTATACCTCGCCTCTTGCCCAGTGTCACCTTGGATTGGCTCAAGCCCCACACAGCCCTCACAGGACAGATGGATGGAGGGAGCAAAAACATTTAAAAACCTTTAAACTGCTTTGACAACATGTACACTCCTCCTCTCAGTGACTATACACATGTGAAAATGAACTGGCATCTGTAACACTAAATTCTACACCAGTAACTGGTTTTAATGTTCAGCCACAACAGCCTATGCAGAGGGGAAAACGACTCTCGAATCAGTAGAAGGGAGTAAAATATGCCATGTTTACAACAGCACTGAGTGCAGCACTGCTGATGGTAACTACCATTCGCTGAAATGCCAAAAAGTGTTCTCATATTCTGCAAAGCAAAAAGCAAGGTCTGTGTTGCACTGCAAAACCGTTAATGGCTGCATAAAGTGAAGCTGCCAACAATCTCGTG